GGTTGGCTGGCAGCCAACAACTGCTGGCCTTCATTGGATCAAGTAAATGAAGTCATAAGGTCTATGTAAGTTAAAGACTGCCCAGGAGGAGGGGCAGCAGCCATGAGGAAGACACTGTGAGCAGATGAAACTGGGCAGCTCTCTCTTTTTCTCTCTCTCTCTCTCACTTGAAACACATGGACACACTCCAAACTTCCTGCCTTCAGAGGAAAGCTCTATCAGCCTCTGGATGATATTTGTGAGTAAGCTACTTGAAATCTAACTAGATATATAACCTGAAATAACTCAGATGTGTGATCAAATGCTACCATGCCATTGTTTGCTCTAAGAGTTTTTCTTTCATATTGCTCTACCCTGTACCCTATCCCAAACCTACTCCTTGTAATCAATAAAGTTCTCCTCTGTACCTGGTGCAGGAGACTTATAGGGGGAGGGTCTAGATTATGCCTTGGGGTCCTCTTGGTCCGGCTGACTAAGGGAGACTGCTATTTGTGCTTTAGACTAAGGGAAGCACCCCAAGTTCTTGCAGTAGATCAAGTACCCTTCAGATCTATAAAGCTTGTGTACCTCATGAGGCACAGAGCCACTAGCAGACCAAGACTTGTGGATGGTGGCAGCATTACCCCCAGGCTTGCAGGTGTGCTCCTAGAAAGGGGTTGACCAGACATGAGATGCACTCAGAGCTGGTAGGTGGTTGGATGCCGTGAGGTGGGTGGTTCAATGCAGGAGCACCCCCTACTGGCCTGCTACACCCTTAACCAGAGGATTTCAACAAACCTACTCCTCACTTTTTACACTGCATCTCAGAATACTTCTATATGTCTTTTATATTTAAAGCCAATCCCACTGCCTTTTTCCCCCCACTATCTTTTCTGTAGAAAGTATAGCCTTCCATGGCAGTACTTCAGTCATGTGATCTATCCCACCACGTCCCATTATCTCAACTGCACCATCATTCTGTGATTGCAGTAGGACCTCTGATTCTTCCTGCTTATTCCCCACATTTTTTGCATTAGCATATAAATATTTTAGGTAACTAATTGATTATCCTAATTTCTCCCTAAGGCTTCCACTATTTCCTCCTCTTCTAGGTTTTTATCCCGATCCCATGACTCTTAATTTAGCTTTGGTCTTTTGTCTGCATACCTGGGTGAACCTAATTTTAAAGCCTTTCTCCACTAGGTTAGTAAGCCTGTACATGAAAACATTTTATCCCTTCTTCATCAGGTGGACACCGTCTCTTCATAGTAGTCCTTCTTCTTGAAACACCCGATGGCTGAAGAAACCAAAGTGCTGCTTGTGACATTATCTATGCAGCCACATGTTGATCTCTAGGATGATTCTTCCCCTACCCAGCCCCTTGCCCTTGAGTGGAAGGATTGATGACAGTAACACCTGGATCCCTGTCCCTTCTACTTTTTCATGTAGAGCCAAGCATTCTTTGGTCCCGTGCAGGAGGGAGTTGCTAACCACCAGTACACATTGCTTCCTCTTGGTGGCAGTTGTCTTGATCCTCCCATCCTGTGAGATACGTGGTTTCGCCTGTTCTGCTACTGGAGTAGATTTTTTCTTGTAAGAACACACATGTAACTCTTCTACTGTGAAGCTGAAAACTAGAGAAAAGATGCATGTACTCCTAGTTTAAGCGAAAGTAGGGTATTTAATTGTTAAACAAAATGTTCTATCTGTACTTAATTTTGTAGCATTGTGTATTTTGTAAAAATCGCAAATTATTCCTTTTGTTTTTCCCTTTTTTTTTTAAACAGGCACAAGAAGACTACAACAAAATATGGGGTGTTATAAACGTCAGTGCAGTAAGTCAGAATGGTAGAACCGTCATTCCAATCACAAGACCATCTCAGATAGAACAGGAGAACTTGCTACGCAGCATTTATTCAGTACATGTTGAGCCATCAGCTGTGCAATATATTGAGGCACATGGCACAGGGACAGCAGTTGGAGATCCTACAGAAGCAGAGAGCTTAGGTAGCATTATTGGTCAAAATAGGTCTTTGCAATTGCCAGCTCTTAAGATCGGTTCCGTTAAAGGAAATATTGGTCATGCTGAATCAGCTGCTGGGGCAGCTGGACTAATTAAAGTTCTTTTAATGATGCACCATGGGAAAATTGTTCCATCTTTGCACTACTCAGAGGAGAATAGTAGCATAGATACAGAAAAACTAAATGTATCCATCCCAACAAGTGTGGAGAAATGGGAAGAGTCTGAAGAATTTGGAAGAGTAGCTGGCATCAATTGTTTTGGATTCGGGGGAACCAATGCTCATGTTGTTGTCAGGCAGTTGAAACAACCAGAAGTTCTTCCTGCATTTAAAAGGCCACTTGAATTATTTGTACTGTCTGCTGCTTCAAGTAAATCCCTCAAATTGACAATGGAAGACACAGCTAAGCAATTAAACATAAGCAACTCAGAAACTCTCCCAAATCTGGCCTATACATCTGCCTGTAGAAGAAGCCACGTAAACTACAAATACAGAAAAGCCTTTGTTACAAACTCTCTTAAATATTTACAGCAACAACTTACATTGGCATCCCAAGCTGAAATAACTGAGTCAAAGATGACCCCTCAACTAGTTTTCGTGTTTTGTGCTAATGGAGTAAATATCAGAAAGACCTGCAAGACACTGTTGAGATCAGAACCTGTGTTCAGAGACAAGTATAAAGAAATAGAAGCATTGTTTCAGAAATATATGCCAGTCAGCCTGCTGGAATTAAAAGAAAATGAATATGAAGATTTTTCTTTACCAGACATTGCCCAACCGATACTTTTTACTCTTCAGGTTGCTTTAGCTTCTCTTCTGAAACACTGGGGAATTAAGCCAGATGCTGCAGTGGGTCCTTCAGTTGGGGAGGTTGCTGCTGCTCATTTTGCTGGGTTCCTTTCTCTTGCAGATGCTGTCAAAATAATTTATCACAGGAGCAGGTTACAGGCAAAGGTGACTGGAGGCAAAATGCTGGTAGTTGGCAACGTCCCTGTTGATGAAATATCGAAAGCCTTACGCCCATACTCTGGGAAGGTGTGCATTGCGGTTCTCCACAGCCCTTGTTCTTGCACCCTTTCTGGAGATGCAGATGCTGTGAGTACCCTTCATAAAGAACTAGCTGAAGCATTCAGTAGTAGAAACATATTTCTTCACATTTTAAATGTCCCAGTTGCATACCACAGCCATGTGGTGGATCCAATAATGAAGGAAATGGAAGAAAGTTTGCAGTGTTTGGAAAAACAAAAGCCAGAAATTGAAGTGATTTCAACATTAACTGGGAAGGCTGCTTCCAAAGAGGATTTCACTACAGGCAAGTTCTGGGCCCAGCAGGCTCGAGATCCTGTTGATTTCACCCAGGCCATTTTGACTTCAGCTAAAGGAAAGAAAAATGTAGTGTTTGTTGAAATAGGTCCTCACAGGGCACTACAGAGATATATCTTGGAAACTCTAGGGAAACACACTCGGGTTTTTTCTGCCATGCAAACTGACGCAGAATATCAGACGCTTTTTACTCTTGTCAGAGATCTGTTTGAATTGGGATATAATCCTGACTGGCAGCACTTATATGAAGGGTATCAAAGCACACCAGCAACCTTTCCCAGGTATCAGTTTGATCGTAGGAAGCTAATGACATATTTGGACTTGCATCAACAAACGAACCGACGAGCTATAAAGTCAGGACATCCTCTTATTTTCTGTGTAAACCAGGACAACACAGAATTCAGTTGCCCAATATCCCAAACGTTAACACCCTATTTATATGAGCATAAGAGTAACGGTGTTGCTTTGGTTCCAGGTGCTTTTTTTATAGAGCTTGGTTTGGCATCTGTGTTGAATAGTGTAAGACGTAAAGTGCCTCCAAGTACTTGTCAGATTAGCATCAGGTTCTCAGCCCCCTGCATATTAAACCAAAATTCCCAGGATTTAAAGATAAAACTGAAATCAGAAAAAGCAGGGACAGAGTTCCAAATACTGTCTTCATCAGCTGCAGTTTTTGCATCAGGACAAGTTATCATGAAGACTGGGGCTAGAGTGGAAGAAAACAGTATCTCCTTTAAAGACATCTTTAAAAGGTGTAAATCAGTAGTTACCCGAGATGAGGTTTATGAAACACTTTCTCAGGTTGGATTTCAGTATGGTTTCATATTCAGACAGCTAAGTGATGTATTTTATAGTCCACAGTTAAAAGAAGCTATAACGAGCATTAAAGTGCACAAACAGACTAGAGAAGAAATGTATGACTATTGTATCCATCCAGTGCTGTTAGACTGTTTTTTGCAAATGATGGCTGTTATGACTACAATTACTTTCAAGATCAGGGCAGGTTTTCCTTCTGGAATAGGCAGCCTTGTAGTTCTCAGGCCTTTGGAAGAGGAAATGATGCTGTATATGAAAACAAGCAAATCTGTTGGGAACTACTTAGAGGTTTGTGGATGCTTTGCAGATAAACATGGCTTTGTTTTGGCAGAACTGAAAAATGTTGGAATCACTTTGATGAATCAAACATCTATCATAGACAATGATTTGATGTTTGAAAATAATTGGAAAGAAATATTTCCTGTTCAATCAGTAGGATATTCAGGGGAAGCACCCAGAGTAATTGTGTTTGCTGACAAACTTGGAATAGCCCAGCTACTCAAAAAATATCTACACCACACATCAAGGTATGTTATGTATGAAGATTGGGAGACACTCCTGGAAGCCAAGAAGCCAGAAATGACTGCAGAGCATAAAATCAAAACAGAGCTTGAGGGCTATTGTGAAGTTTTGTTTATGTGGGGAATTCAGAAGTTAAGTGAAGAACTTCCAGGCAAACTTGTGGCACAACTAACTAAGTATTGTGAAGCATACCGTGTAATTATTTTGGCACTGAGAGAGAAAAAATCCAAGTGTTCAGTTAGAATGATAACCTACAGAACAACAGAAAGAAATGTAGATCATATTAACCCTGGATTTGCTTTGTGTGGCATGACTAGAACGTGCATAGTTGAAGTTTCAGAAATCATGTTCCAGATGATTGATATCAGCTCCTCAAGTATGCTGGACATCACAGCTCTAGCAGATGTTATTGTAAAATGTAAAGGATGTGATTATCCTGAAATATGGATCAATCAAGGGAGAATCTACACTTCTGAAATTAGACGTACACCATTTAAAGATATAGATTACTGCCAACCTGCAAAGTCTCCCGAGAACTCAGAAATTCTCACTTTATACACTTCAGACCCATACCAAGCAAAATGTGTGTCTGCTGAATTAAGCAATAGCACAGTCACTCAGCTTGAGAATGACAATGTTGAGGTTCAAGTTGATAAAATATGTATCCATTCAGAAGACTATTTTCCTGTTAGTGTGTCTAGCCGAAACTTTGGTAATACTCTATACTGGAGTTCACATATGCTAGATAAGTATAAGCTTTTAGCTTTGGATTTTAGTGGCATAGTCACTGCAACAGGCAGTGAAGTGAAAAAAGTTAAGGTGGGAGATCATGTTGCTTCCTGTTACCCAGTGATTGCATCATCAAGAGTCAAGATTCCAGGGACTGTTTGTTTCAAAGTGAAGAAATTCCCATGTTTTAGACATGTACCTTGTGTGTCCTACTTCTTGATAGCCTGGGAACTTTTAAATCGGACGTTAACCAAGGTGAAATGCAATGGGACTTTAGGATTTATTTCTGCTGAGCCAGAGTCAGTTCTATGCAAAGTGCTTACTCTGACAGCACAAGAAGTGGGTTGGAAAACAGTCCTTGCAACACCCACAGCTAATCAATGGCAACATGTAAATCAGTGTGTAGCCCTTGTTCTTCTCTCTCCTTTGGATGGAATACCTGAGGAAGGGCTAGCCCAACTTTCCCATCTCCGGGATGTTGTAATAGTATGTGGAAATCGAAAGCCAGAATGGGTTAGACATCTTATTGGAAGCGATCTTGAAAATATCCAGGTGCATGTCTTGAAGCTTGATATTTTTCAGAAAGCCTCTTTAAAACAATCTCAAAAGGTAGCCAACAAATGGATTCGTTCAATTAATCTGAAACTATTTAGCAACTTATCATGTTCTGTTTTTCAGAAGACTGAGAACTTTGAAAGGACAGGCACTCTTGAGTCTTCCTATTTCACCTGCAGATCAGTTCCACTTGCTGTGCTGAAAGGCAGTGGGGAGACCCATGGGATTTCTAACATACCAATGTATGAAGCAGAGAAGAAAATGTTTAAGCAGAATGCTGTTTACATAGTGGTTGGGGGGCTCACTGGGCTTGGTTTTGAAACAGTGAGATTCATAGCCCAGAATGGAGGGGGCGGTATTGCTGTATTTTCAAGGAGGAGTCCAAACAAGGAGAAACAGAAAGAAATAAAGGCTTTGCAGGATCAATATGAAGGGAGCAAAATAGTCTGTCTGCAATGTAATGTTGTTTCTGCCCCCGAGGTTGAGAGAGCAGTCCAGTCAGTTGATAAAATCTTTTCAAAGAGGCCAATCAAAGGAGTATTCCACAGTGCTGTGGTTTTACATGATGGACATCTTGAAGCTCTGAACATGTCTCACTTTGAGAAAGTATTAAGTCCAAAAGTTGCAGGGGTAGTCAATCTTCACTGTGCTACTAGAGGGCAGGATCTTGACTTTTTTGTGTGTTACTCATCTGTTACTTCATTTCTTGGGAATTCAACCCAGGCAAATTATGCTGCTGCTAATTCTTTTCTAGATCTGTTCTGCCACTACAGGAGGAATAGTGGACTTTCAGGACAATCCATTAATTGGGGTGCCTTGAATCTTGGAATATTGCTAAATCAAAATCATATACAAAATATTCTGGAATCGAAGGGCATAGATATTTTGCAAGTACATGAAATTTATGACTCTCTTAAAAAAAGCTTAATTTTGAATAATCCTCAGCAAGCTGTAATTAAATTAAATTTTGGAACTTTAACCAATCACGTTCTTTCTCGGATTGCATCGCTCAGAAGTCGCTTTACTACACTCATTTCAGAAGAGGTTGGCAATCAGCATCAACTCTCTGAACAAGCTGCTCCCAAGAATGTGTCTCTAATCAAATCTGAAGATTATGTCATCTCGCTGGTGAGCCACCTTACGAATGCAAACCCGAATGATCTTACTATGAACACGTCCCTCGTATCACTGGGCATGGACTCTATGTTAGTCATGACACTACAGAATCGTATCTTTCATGAAAGGCGGGTGGATATACCTCATGTAAAACTACTGGATCCCCATACAACTCTGTCAAGTTTAGTAGTACTTTTAGAAGAAAACTCTAATGAAAGTGAGATGTTTGAAGAAAACACACCTATAGCTGAAAGTACTGAAAATGGATGCTGGTTATAGGAAACCTTTTCATGCAGTAATTTGATAATTTTAAAGTTACGTGGACTTTAATGACACCTAAAACAGTGCCTGTTTTTTAATTTTTCAGCACAATAAAGCACTGAATTGATGAGTTAGCTTACTTATGTTTGGTGCTGCATTAGCTTTGTAACTTTTAATCAGTTCTTGGATGTATTGTTTTGTGTAGCATATTTTAATTAATTTATATTACTAACAATAAATGAATTGATGCACATACATTTTTATTTTGCAGATTTGAATGTGAAATGCTAATGTGATATATCATTTTTCCTATTTTCAGTATTAATTGAAGAATTGATTTAATTGTGTTTTAAATAGGAATACAATACAATTAAACTCAGCAGGATAATTTAGCAATTGTATCTGATTGGTTATTCTTCAATATCATAAAGTTATGTTATTTAGGAATTAAAAGAAAGATATGCCTTCCATAACTGAATATTGTACACTGAAAGGTTTTCTCAAAGATCATGTTTAATGCTTTTCTCATTTTTTATTCGGTTTTTTTTTTTACATATCTGGGAAGAGAATCAAACCGAATAAACATAAAAGCATGCATTTTTAAAAAGCCGATCTCAGTTCTTTCTAATTAATATATTTCCTTTGCTTTATTTTAATTCATTTTAATCTCTGGCCTGTTTTTGTTTATTTTGTTTTTTGCTTTTTTTAAAGGCTCCATGCTTTTAAAGAGCTTTTATTTTGTTTTGTAGGGAAAAAAATGACACATGAAGGATGAGATTTTTTCAAAGTAACTGGAAAAAGGTGAATGTCCAAATCCTATTGTCATTTCCTCAGGCTCTTTGGAGCAATTATGAGGATTTTCCCCATTTTAATAGCACCTCTAACAGAAAGTAGAGCAGCAAGGTAATGCAACAGACTTTGAAAATCAAGAGGTGCTGAAGACTAGTCTAGTTTGGATCCACTAGAATTCAGTGAGCAAATCAACCAGTAACAATGATGAGATGGAGATAATGTGACAATCCAAGCCACTTAAGAGCCGAGGTGCCTTTGGTTCCTGATACCAGCAGAGCAATATGGACTGTGTACTGAAGAGGTAAACTTAAACAGAGCTGCCTAAATAGTTTGTTTTCATTTTCTTTTTACCCAAAGCTGAAGAGAGATTGATGATAGGGAGCAGTACAGTATCTGAACAATTTTCAAGACAGTATATTGGCAGAGGAATGAACATGAAATGACTGAATTAATGCTAGTAGGTATTTCAAGGCCTGTGGGCACTCAGCCATTGCTCTGATAGTCTCAGTTCTGTTTCAATAAGGATTTCAGTCCTGTGGATGATTATTGCATTACTACCACTAAGAGCTGGAATTTTCTGAGGGGTGCCTTGAGTCTAAAAGTGTTGAGACCCACTGGTGTAAGGTATTATACTAGTTAATTAATAAGATAACTAATCAACAACCAAGTTTATGAGGATTCATTGGGGGGGGTGGGGGGCATGTAATGGAAAGACAAATCACTGTATTCTGACATACAACGTGT